AACACTACATAGATTGTTTGATCCATTACACCGGTAATTAGATGAAATCACAATATGAAGTCGATTGTCTCAGAGTCTACAAAACACCTATATTTTTAGTTTTTAGGCTTAATTCATTTTTCATTCCCTACATTTCAACCGATGCTAGGTATCAGAACACTCAATATCGCCTCTCACTTTTTCCTCTTTATTACCTGCAGGCTTTCATTGACATGGACAACCTTGCCCAGTTCGCCCTACCACTTGGCTGGTCCGAGGGCCGATCAAGCTTTGGTCGACGCTACTATGCCTGCGATCGGACACGCACCACCACATGGCAGCACCCGCGACTTGGCCGGCACGTACCACTTGGTTGGGAGCGCGTCGATTCACTTTGCGATGGAGTCTACTATCACAAGTAAAGCCCCTTACAATTGTGCATCCTTTCTATGCAATAAGCACTCATGGCGGTGTAATAGAGAAGAGCGAGCTCTAAGCAGTACGTATTGAATCGAGATAATATCCGGTTGATTATGGAGAATAGACCATTTTAATTATAGAAAATTATGGGGCTTTTTGTATGGTCGCGGTCTTCTTTCGTTGTATAGAAGTTGTTTGGCCTTGTTTTCGTTAATTGTTCATACTGGCAGGAAGACCTAGAGGAACGCACCTAGTACATAGTATGCATGATAATTTTGAGAGTCGGACCATGAACTAGTACATTCCCAGACGTTTCGCCGGCACCGTCAGTGAGTCTTGCTATTCTTAGCACCACACTACAACTCGTCAAGGAGACAAGTGAAATCGATCCTTTGACCGATTGTCTACTAGTAGGTTTAGATAAACAAGTAAGAAATTGTGATATTGAAGGGTTGATACAAGGATAGAGGATAATTGGTAAAAGATTCGGCATCCCTTGTCTCTTTGACAAGTTGTTATATGGTTCTAAGAATGGCGAGACTCACTGACGATGCCGGCGAAACGTCTGGGAATGTATGAAGTCCACAGTCCGACCTTGGAAATTATCATGCATACTATGGAATCCGGACAAGGTGCGTTCCTTCAGGTCTTCCTGCCAATATGCCAAGTTGCGAAAGCAAGGTCAAGGTCTTAATTATCGTTTACTATCAACAATACTAGTAGCAACTTATAATAATTTGTTACTAATAACATGACAATGAATGTAGTAAAATCGATATAAAATGGAGCCTGATTGGAAATGTTAGAGATGTGTTTGGTCTACAGGCTTAAAATGATGACCTTGTTTTCGCAAGGAGTCCGGAGTCCATTGTATGCATAATACTTTCCAAAGATGGACCCTAGACGCGGTACATTCCCAAATGTTTCTCCGGCATCATAGTCGGCATCATCAGTGAGTCTCGCTATTCTAAGCACCACACAACAACTCGTCAAAGAGACAAGTTAAGCCGATCCTTTGACCAAACGTGTGCTAAACAGTTTTGGTATCCTCCCGTCTGCCCTGGGCTATTCACATCTCCTATATCTTAATATCACGCCTTCACTGTTACAATTTTTACTGTACTTATTTAGATGTAGTGTGGTGTACCGAATTATTATTTAACTTGCCTATTATCTAAGCAAACTTAGAGAAAACAAGGATACGACAAGGCAACCAACAAGGAGACACCAGGATCTATCGTTAACGAGAGGAAAGAGGATCGCAAGGAATTAGTTGAGAAAATGTCGGAAAGCAATCGAAGATGGTCTTAGTGAGTGTAATCTGCTCGAAGAAACGACTACAACTTTTAGGCATGTCGGTTAGGCGAATAGAGACGAATAATCACAATCGTCACATAAATTCGCTAGAAATCCACTTGAGAGGTAGCAGGCGACCAGAGATAGGCATGCACAGTTTGCCCAGGGTACACGGATTTAATCAAGGAGATGACCTGTGGAGGCAATGCCTAATATCTACAAGCATGAGGGTCAGGGTCTATGAGCTCTGGAGATGAGGCGACTTTGTACGTACTACTGAAGGCTTGAGAAATAGCACCTGGAGTAGAAATAAAAACTGGGACTTGAACCGAGTGAAATCGGTCAACCAGAAATATAAGAAATGGATCTACGGGCATATGAGGGAGATCCGGATAGGAGGTCCGAGTCGGATCAGGAATCCGAGAGAGAGGGGGAACAAGACAGACAGTAGGTGTGATAATGCCAAGATAAACTCGCCAAAAAAGAATGAATATACACAAGTCAAAGGTTATGATAGGGAGTGAGTGGGACAAGAGGGTAGGGAGTAAATAGATGGGCCAGGACAAAAAGAAGAGTGACAGCACAACTGTTTGGGCAGATAGGTTGTCAAGGGATCGACTTTACTTGTCTCTTTGATGAGTAGTAGCTTGGTGCTGAGAATAGGAAGGCTTATTGACGATACTGGCTGAACGTCTGAGAATGTATTGAGTCCGCGGTCCTACACTTAGCATTATAGTAACTAGTATAACAGAGGACTTCGGACAAGGTGAGCCCAACTAAGTCGTCCTGACAGACCAACCAAGTTGTGAAAACGAAATCAGCCCACTTCTGAAAATGGATGAACTTCATTGTGCTAATACAGAGTATGTAGCACGCAAACATACGGCCGGTTTGGCATAGTTTAAAAAAATTCCATTTTAATGTGTTGCCCTTTTGTGAGTTCGGATTAATCTTCGAGCTTTAAGAATTGTTTGAGGGGGGTCATTATACATTAATATTGGATCAGAAAAACTGGTTCTTATAAGAACGCAATTGATAAAGGGCAAATGTTTTGCTTATAATCTAACATAACGATAATTTTGAAGATTAGATTATCAATTTAAGAGAATTATATTGCTTTTTTAAAGCCTCCTAAACAGCTTCTTTCAATTTTTAGTCTTTTGCTCCCTTATTCACAACGTCATCACCCTAATCTCTGGTTGCCTATAACGCCGAAGAACATCAACGTGGAAAAGCAAGAATGGTTCTCCGAGCTCAGGAGATTGCAAAATTCTCTGAAGCACACAATGCCTGGTAAGTACTAGGTTCAGTATGTGAGGATTTCTTTCTTTCGATCTAAAATTTTAAACCGAATAATCTTCCAGGCAAAAAAGTTGTTATGAAGAAAAACTGGAATTCTAAGAACTCCATAATGAATGATTGTGACATGACTAACCATTTAGAAGGGAAAGTTGGTTCGAAGGAATTCGTGATGTGGTCGCGCCGGAAACCTAAGGAGGATTGTCGCGTAGCGAAGACTATTGCATTGTGCTAAGAAGTCCTCGGCTCAACTTCATGCGACCCCGATGAAAATGTGCTAAGAAATATTTGTTTACGTTCTCCTCATCAAGTCCTTACAATCCTTTGAAGCTCCCATGCATTAACGGCGCCTAACGATTCCCAGAACTGTATTAAAGGAAATTAGTGAAGACAGTTGGTATTGAGAGGAGGGTTGTTTTTATAGTTGGAGTCGAAGTACCTCCTTTATCAAATGTGGGGTCAGAGTTACTGGATTATTTTCGAGCAGTCCTTTGTTTATTCAAGGCAAATAGAGGAAAAGGCCGAAATTAAAGTATAGCTTCGTGAGATTCCAGACCAAACCAATGAAGTGGAATCATTTAACTGCAATCACCCTGACTTTTGTCGGACATAATAGCATTCAAATGCGTCCTACCAAGGTGTGTTTAAATAGTCTCGCCTTGCTTCTTGTGTATAGTTCAAGTGAGCTAGTGCCTCTTAGTCTTTGAGAGCTTGAAAGCACAGTTGCCTGCAGGTTTTGACTCATTCACTTTGGCAAATTCGCTCACAATAGCTCACATCTCAGGCACCGAATAT